TTTTTTTTACAGATTAACGCTAAATTCATTAAATCACTGCAAACGTATTAGTTTTAGGTATAAATAATGATCTATTGGTTCCTTGTTGACAGAACATTTCCTTTAATTCTCTGACATTTTGCTGCCTTAAAAAATATAACCATCTACCGTATCTATCGTAGCTGCATTTAAGCCGCTGATCGTCGTCCTTCCATCAGCTCCAGGATTAATGAACTCTATGACCACTGGTGCCCAACGCCTCCAACTACCCTTCCTCCTTTGGTACAGTGAGAGGGATTAGTGGGTCATAGTGAAGGAAGACCCAACTCCAATAACCACTAGCCTCTTAGATTTCAGCAGACTCATTCATCTCAGCATGAGCACAGACTATTAATACTGCTTCACCATCTAAGAGCTGAACAAGCAGAGCTAAGTTCTCCAAATATCTCCTCTATTTTCATTGCAGCTTACAGAGAAAGTCTTGTCATTGGAGGTGTATGATATTCTGAAATATGCGGTGGATATTAGACGTAAAAGGGTTTTATGGTTGGGAGTAATATTTCACCTTGTTTTGTGTGGAGTCCTGCTCCTGCTCGCGGCTGTCGGGGTCTCCCTCCTGGGCAGAGTGACCTGAGCCGGACGAGCTCTGCTCTGAACAATATACATCTTGACTGGGGTACCTGCAACACAGACAGAGAGACGCTGATCAGCAACGCAAGAAATTAACATCAGGGATACAACAATAAAAAAATGATTTATTTAGAAAAATTAAAATACAAGTACGCAGCATAACAGCATGCTAACACCAAAGCAGGAGATCGAAACTAAGAAGCCTCTCATTAAAAAACCCCAAATCATCTTAAACATTTAAATGAAGAAATAAGAAATAGAAGAACCAGCTCCACACAAAGTCTTAATGCTTGTCTAACTGCAGCTATTGATTATTTAATAAGTTAATCTGTCAATATTTATGCTGTAAGTAGGTTATTCTTTTAGTGAAAGACGTGTTTTGGTACATGTGGTTATACCATTACTCTAATTTAAGATTCAATAAACAAATTAGTTGACAAATATTTCAATAATCAATTGATCTGATCCTGCCTTCAACTGCTTTTTTTACTAAATCAATCATTCTTATGTTCTCTACCTCTCTGATAAGTCATGCTGCCTGAGCTTGATTACAGTAGTAATCCTTCCAGCTTCCTAAAAGTCAGATAGCTCTATACCAATAAGGCCTGAAGCAGCTGGGAAGCCTGAATAAAGCTGACATATGTTATATGTAGAGTGTACTGCTTGTAATAACCGGGGTCATAAAGCACAATAAACTAAAGTGTCTAAGCAGGTAAGGGAAGGGCAAGAAGTTCCAAAAGGTTGGACATGATAAAGCAACCAGGAACTGAAACAAGACAAATCGGTGACCTCATTTCCCGATGAGCAAATCAGTAGATAAAAAATACAACAAAAACAAACCAAAAGTTCATCCAGTAACACCTACTAGATAAGGAAGCAACTATATCTACAAACGCGGTAAAAAGAAAGTCCACCTTCTGTCAGTGATCAGTTTATATCACTGCATCATGGAGACGCTTGTTAGCACCTTGTCGCCCTCGTTGTCAAGGGGGAGAGAAGAACCAACATGCATGCCCAGAAGTAATAAGATACCACCATCTGTTTCCCCTCAACAAGACAGCCTTCACCGTTTGCATTTTCCTCATCAACATTAAACAGATGAAAAATAAGAAGGAGCTACATTAGGAGCTTTTAATCACATTTTGCCTGCAAATTCTCTCACATATATATGAATAAAAATAAAAGATTAAGATTACAGCAGCAATTTCCATTGGTTTACGGTTAACAGCTTAATTTGGTTAAGTCAATAAAGCCGGCTTGTACATCCAGCAGACTGATAAGAGCCCAAACCAAATAAAATCAAGATAAATATATTTCCTGTTCATTTTTTTATTATTATATTTAATGCGGTTGGGTAAGAAAAAAACTTTTCCTTTTCTGCCTATTATGTAATGAAATTCTGTGTGTGTACATTAAGGGCGATTATTGGCATCTGTGTTGCGATACGATACATGTCCCAATACTTGGGTCAAAATAAAATACCATGATATTGCAATATCACTATATATTGCGTTATTTTTCCCAACTATCAAAATTATATGTAAAGATAAAAAAGCAGGTGCTGTATATGTTCAGATGGTTTTGATAATTTAGTTATTTTGGTATCCATGTTGTTTGGGGTTTGAGTGAGTCCGCATCTTCCTCTGTGACTGCCTCAACCGCAGATATGGTGCTGCGTTGCAGAGCTAAAGGGCCCCACAGAGCAATCTACCAGGGTGCAGAGGTAGCCCATTTACACTCACTGTTATAAGAAAAAAAAATTTTTGTATTCAATAGTAGTATCTGAAAGCTCAATATCATAGGGCAGCCGAAAATCACAATATATTTTTTTCCTACACCGCTAATGTACATTTAGTTGTTTCATGGATTCAAAATGATAAAGAAAAAAAAAAGGATAATTTACAGTATTTTATGAACGGCATAGATTTTCTTGTGTGCTGAGAATATCCAGACCGGCTGCTGAGAGGGACATTGGCCGATACACGCATGGACTGCCTTGATATTCTGTATAATTTACGTAAACATAGAAGGAAACATTAATATTCACAACTAAAATAATTTACTACAAAGTTCTGCAACTATAAAGAAACTCCAGCTGTCATTCAAACCCAGTTCTACATATTTATTACTCAGAAGAGCTCAAATATCTACTTTATCTGAAGATGTTATTTTCTTATTATTTAACAGACTGACAGCAAGTTAGTACGACGGACTATTAGGGCCAGGCTAGAGATCTTTTTTTTCTATTTTGAGAACAAAGTCTCAAAATTATGAGAATAATGTAACATAAGAATAAAGTTGATTATTATGAGAATAAAGTGGTAACATTTAGAGAAAAAAGATATGACATTTAGAGAATAGTCCTAAAATTATGGGAATAAAGTTTTATTTTATGAAACTAATGTTGGGCATTATATGAAGTTATAATTTTCTGGTTTTACAAATAAGGAAATCTTTTAGCACCAGCATCAAATTGGGCAGGATGTCAAAGTAGACTCGAGTGATGACTGGTCGGCCGTCATCTGCTGTTTGGAGCTCAAAGCTGAACGAAGCTGTGGTATGATGACGTTACGACCAAATTCTCGCAACGTTATGACGGAA